TTGTCTTCGGTAAATGATCTAGTCCCTAAACGAAAATTGCTAAAACGTCTCATAGGTTGCCTTCTATGACTATACAAAACGTCCCGTGCCCGTCCCTTCACATCCAACGATGGGGTTTTCTTACTAAAACAATGGTGAGATAACAACATCTAAAGGAGGAGGAAAAGAACTTTTAAGACCTTTTGAGTAGGTAGGATGCTCCTAGTTGCTCGCTTGCTCACAACAAAAACATTTTATACACCCACAATTTCACTTTGAAACATTTTTCAAAAGACAAAACACTTTGTACGCGTTCTTATAGAGACGGGGACCATTACAAAGACATTCCTTTTCAAAATACTTTCAAAACTCACATCACAAACACATTTTTCAAACAAAAAGCAAGTGATCTAGCAAGCAACTAAGAGCCCGTAGATAACTACGGATGAAAAGGGTGCTAACACCTTCCCTTTTCATAACCTACCCCCCGAAATCAAGAAATAATATCGAAAGGTCTTTCCTGTTCTTTTCAACCTTTCCTTTTGGATAAAAGAAAAGTCAGTGGCGACTCTTGTTAACCGCAACAATTGCGATCAAACGCAAAACACCCAAGTCAGTTCTCCCACCGCATTACATCTACCTTTCTGCATAGATCTTTGTTTGACGCCAATAGTTCAACATACAAACTTTCTTCTACCATAGAATTGCACCTTCTTGTTAAGGCATTAACATAATCGTCAGATTATTTTAAAGAGTATTCATCACCTTTATAGTTTATCCTGAGAATATTCCAGGCATCTTAGCAGTACTACAAATAGCTATCTTCTTGAGAGCATCCTTGTCTACTCCATGACGTAGAGCATCCAAGACTTTAGAGTTTGCAGAATCTAACTCATTTTCCTCTTTGGACCAATCCTCCATTGACTTTAAATTCTCATTCTCAACTTTGTCTTTCATGACAGGGTGACTCCATCCTTTTATCATAATCTTCCAAGATTTATGTCCATGGCTTTTAAAAAGGATATTATCCTAACCTTCCAAAAAGCATAATCTTCATTATCCAACATAGGTGGTCTATCTAACCGTTTACCTTTATAGTACATAGTACCATAAAATATTTTCCTTGGAGCTCACCCAATAGACAGAACAGGGTGTCTGCTCTGATGTCAATTGAAATTCTGGTACACACAATATAAATGTCAAGACTAATGTCTCAACACACAAGCACAATGTCACGACATATGTTACAACATCTCCTGACAGAATAAATTTTTTTCCCAAAATTAAAACTATGCAGAATTATAAAGTGTAGAAGGTAAAAGAACACAAAGATTTGTTAACCCAGTTTGGTGCAACTCACCCACTCTGGGAACTACCAAGCCAGGAAGGAATCCACTATCAATAGTATTAATTCTAAGCCTAAACAATCTCAGTTTACAACTTATCACTTAATCACTACCTAGTGCAACTTCTATGTAGGCACTTATTAGATATGAGAAATCACCATATCACTTCCAATCACCCAGTGATAAAAGACATGTCCCAATCCCAGTGACAGTTTATAATCCAGTCACAATCATAGTGACTCGAAACCAAACTAAACTAAAGTTTACACTCCAATTACAATACTTAAACTCTTAATTAAAAGCTTTATAGTAAGAAAAAAAAACTTGACAAACAATTAAGTAACAATCAGTCAAATCAAATGCATCAACAGATACACGAGGACGTACAGACAAAAACAAAAACCCCTTGAAGAACCTTTAAAACCTAAGACTAAGAAAATTCGGCTTCCCCTTATTTTTACAAAATACTTAATGAATTTGGGTCTAGGTAGTTTCTATAAATACTCTTCAACAATTCTTGGGCCTTGCATTTGCGCCTAAATATCCCTTGTTGCACAAGTTGAAGGCTGCACCAATCCGTGCAGGAAAATCTCCTTGAATCTTGGAACAAATACAAGGTTTCCTAAATTGTTTCAATCAACCAATTATAGCAACCTTTGTACAGCTGGAGATAAATAATTTGTTCCATATTTATAATTCTTGACTTGCGATAAACCAGTGAGATAAAAACAACTTAAATCTTACAAAATCAATTAAAGATTTCTCAAGAATAAATAGTTTGTACTGACTTTGGAACCAGATGTTACAACATCTGTCAGAACATCTACTTTCAAATGATCCTGACCAACATATTTAAAACACCTGTTTAACGTCCATCTGCAAACCATGTTTTAGAAAAAATAATGCCAATCCAAAACACATGGTACTAACACTTTCTTCCTAATTCAATTCTTTCTTCTCACATAATCATTACCGTGCAAAATCATCTTGCAATTAAGGTGTGGTTGAATCACTCGAGTGAATAGTGAAGAACAAGAGGCAAAATCGATCGGTGTGATTGATTCTTGTTCATCCAGATTGTTTTTTAAATTCTCCAAGTTTTGGGTATAATTCCAACATCTGGTATCTAGAGGCGAGGTTACAAACTCACAAAAGAACATATGAACTGCTTCAGATGGAAGAAAGTGAAAGTATAATTGATTTCTTCACTAACGTTATGAAACTAGTTAATTAAATCAAGGTATATGGAGAAACGTTGACATCAAGATCAGTTGTCGCAAAGATCTTAAGGTCATTAGATCCAAAGTTCGACCATATTGTAGTAGTCATAGAAGAGTCAAAAGATTTGTCAACATTGACATAAAAAGATTAAAACTCTATATGACCAATAAATTGTTAGACTTAAGAACTTTATGCTTAAATATGAGAGAGTTATTCACCAAAGAGTTTGTTATTTTAATTAGCTAGTAGTTTATCTTTTTTATTGTCAAAACAATTTGCCATTAGGCATATGTTGAATGAAATATATAAGATTTTTAAGATATTACATCCAAAGTTTAACTAAGTGATAAAAATATAATTGTAGAGAAGAAAGTTAAAATAAAAAAAATAAAAAGAGAATAAGTTACAAAAAAAACATAGAAGTCTAGTCTAAATGTCATTAGAAGATTATCAAGTACAAAAGAAGACAAATTTGAGGGATCAAAATCAAGCAATTAAAATTTGAGTGGCCAAAATTAAACAATTGAAACTTGAGGACCAAAATAAAAGAATTGAGAATTTAGGAGACCAAGACTGCATTTAGGAGAATTGAGAATTTAGGAGACCAAGACTGCATTATTTCTAATAATTTAATTTTAATATAAAATTAATCAAATATAAACTTCTAAATTGTAAAACTTAATTAAAAATAAATAAAAATCGGCATTTAAAATCAAATTATAAGCTATTTTTCATTGAAAGAGTTTATATGCATCAATGTTTTAAAAATCGGACCGAACCAGCCAGTTCAACTGAGAATCGAAGATGAATTCGATTGGTTCAATCTTTTAAAATTACTAGTGGATTAAAATCGGAGTAAAATCAGAAAAACTAGATTGAACCATCCAAAATCAATTGAACTAAAGAATCGGAGTCAATTTTATAAAATTGTCTAGTTCGAAAAAATTATCGAATTGACCATTTTTTTATATTTTTCTAAAAAGTTTAACATGTTAATATAAAAATTTAAAATATTATATTGTTTATTTTTTATATTCTATCTTATTTAATTTAAGTATCGTTAATTATTTGAATTTTATATTAGTTATTATATTTTATTATTTTAATTTTTGTTTGAATTATTATTAAATGAAAATAAAAATAAAAGTTTAGTTTGAATTATTTTAATTTGTTTAATATTTTTAAATAAAAATTAAAATGAAGTGTATAACTATATTATGTTATGTTATTATATATATTATTGATATTGTTGTATTAAGTTTATAATGAATTTTTAAAATATTTATGTTATTAGGTTGTAAAAATATGATTGTGTGTAAAATATATCTATAAATTTTATATTATTAATTTATTTAATAAACGATTTGATCGTAAATTTAACCTGTTGAATCAATTGAATTTTAAAACAGAAATTTTACCGGTTCAATCTCAGTTCAATTTTTAAAATATTGATATATATTTTTAACTAAATTTTTAGACCATTAAAGATATGAGATTAATTACTATATACCATCATTATAAGCGTATCACAATCGTCCACAAATATTATTTGATAAATAATTAAAATAAAAATCAAATATAATTTAAAATCTAATGATTATTATTTATCGATGGTGTAAAATTTATTTACATTGTCGGTGTATTCCAATTAAATTTTAAAGATATATAATAATTTAACACTAAAAATAAAAATTAAAGTGTTTGTCTAATAATTTAACACTAAGAAGTGTAATTTTTTCAAAAAATTAAAATGAAACTTGATAATTTTCTAAAACAAAAAAATATAATAATTTTCTAAAATAGAAAATATAATTGATAATTTTGTTTTGCGATAAAATTATATGACCTAATAAATTATAAATTAAAAAGTAACTCAGATAGACAACAATTCTAATGAAACGAATCGTTTGAATTTTAGATCCAAGACGCGGTTCCCTGACCCGACGGCGTCGTATTGTTCCTCCGCTGCCGTTAATTGAAGGTTTCTCAGTCACCGGCGCCCGTGCCTTTTCTAACTGCCCCCTCCTCAATTCCACTATGTAAGTCGTAACTTTTTCTTTTATTTTCTCTTCTTCAATAACATTAATCTTTCTTTCATAACATGTTTCAGTGGATAACTTGCTTTCATAATTCACCTAAAATTCACATCTTTTTGTTCAATTGGTTCTCTTGTCCTTATAAAACACATAAAAAGCACACTTTTTTTTGTGGTTAGTACTTTCTTTTATGTTTTTCTACTAAGTACATACACCAACCAGAAACACGAAACTGACATATAACTTTTTTCAGAGGTGTCGGTGTTGCAAAGATGTTTTTTAATAATCTTGTGATGAATTTTTTGTATACTATGTTGTTTGGTGATTTAACTTTGGTCTCAATTTGTTTTACTCTAGAATTTGAGCACAGAAACATAGGTTGGAGTTTTGTAGTATTTGGTTGGTTGGAATTTAGAAGATGAAGCGTAAACGTGGACATAAGAAAGGAAAATCAAAGGGTAGCACCAACCTTGTAGTCCTTAGAAATGAAGAGGATCAAAACAATTCAGAAGCTTCTGGTTTTGATGTTGGTAATGATAATAAAGAAGATAACTCTGGTATGGAAGTTGACACGCCGTCTTCCACTGGTACAGATCAGCGTAGCAATCTTGCTAACGTGAATCCCGATGGTTTTGGCACGAAGTCGATTGGACGTGTTAAGGTGAAGCTTAGGACACCAAAAATGTTGGACTCTCAACCAAACTCGTCTGATGCTCCTTCGCAAAGTGATACTGATAGGAGTAGTCAGCAACATGGGCTGGAGAGACATAGTGTGAATGGCGATAGAATTGAAGATAGTGTGAGTTCGTTGCCTCATATTAAGTTTGGTGCTTCGTCAAAGAAAGCTGGTAGCATAAAGATTAAGTCTTCAAAGGGTTTGGGATTAAATTCTGACCAGACAAGCAAGACTTTACCAGTTTCCTCGGAGATTGCTGTCTACCTAAGAGAAAGGAAAGCACCTCCGGTTAATCCCAGTTATCATAAGCAAGAATTGGATACCTCCTTAATGGTGTGTTGGAACTTTAGTATCGGTTTCCTTTAGTTTATTTTCGGTCCCAGCATTAAATTCTCTATTATTAATGGAATCCGTACCGAGTAATTTTCTTTTGGCTGTTTTTTGTTTTATTGTACAGATTATAAGGAAGGTAATGAAAATGGATGCGGCTGAACCCTTCAATGTTCCTGTTAATCCGGAAGCTCTGGGAATTCCTGTAAGTATAAATATTTTCAAGTGACTTTTTCATGGGTTTTTTTTCAGTTAATTTGGATCACATTATAATATTAGTTCCCTTAGTTAGACTTTTTGCCTGTCCCAACTTTTTCCCTAAACCTTGTCTTTTCAACATTTTCTGTATTTTTTTGGTCCAATCATTTGTATCACGCATGCCTTGGAGATTTTGTTTAATACTATAACTTTGCTTCACTCACCATTTAGGAAAAGCAAAAGTTAGAAATAAAGCAATTAATGCTTCTGTCATGCTTTCTGTAGTAGTTGGGTGCATCTTTTTCATATGCTTGCTATCTTCCTCTTTCTCAGTAGGCAGAGATAATTTTACAAAGCTCTGTGATATTTGTTCATCTATGGAGACTAATGTGATTCTGTGTGAAACTTGGAACAATAATGTATAGATCTTTTTTGAAAAAATATTATGTTTACTTGTGTCTAATATCATTATTCATGCGCTATCTGGAACCAGGATTATTTCGATATCATTGATACACCAATGGATTTTGGAACTATATGCAGCAACCTTGAAAAGAATGGCAAGTATATGAATTCGGAGGATGTCTATAATGATGTAAAATACATTTGGGAAAACTGCTATAAGTATAACAATAAGGGTGACTATATCGTGGATCTTATGAGGCGAGTAAAGAAGAACTTTATGAAGTACTGGACTGCTGCTGGGTTATACACTGAACAGCCAAAAGGGACCAAAGGTGAGACTTCCATGTACTGTCAATGTATCATGTAAGATGAAGGACAGTGTCCTACTTTTGCGTGATCTTCTGAAAAACGGATATTTCATTTCTGATATCATTGTTGGAATTCATTTTTTTCTTTGCATATGGCGCTACTACAGCAGAAGATATTGCACTTTCTGGTGATGGAAAAGTAGGGAAAAGTGGCCAGTTGAAGCATAAGAAAAAAAAGGGTCATGGGTATGTTTTCCAAAATTTCAACTTAACCTTATTTATTGTATGATGTTGTCATTCCTAAAGTAATCTTTCTTATAGTGGAAATAATTGAGAGTTATTAGGTTTTAAAAAACGGTTCGCGACCACGAAAAAGTCCGGAACAAATTGTGGTTAATTCACATCACGGAGACTGCAATTAGGGTCGCAACACTCGTACCGACCAAAATCGCAAAAGCCTTTACGCGACCGCAACCGTTTTTTAAAACCTTGATATAATGTAAACTAAATGAAATCTCATGTTGATACTGTGTTTGTTTGTATTAGTATTATGATCAAGTTAACAATACGAGTTCACTAATAGATTGAAGGTAAATAAATATACTTGTTTCCATAAACTTGATATATGCCTGATATCTATTTTTCTGATAACTTAATTATGAATCTTAAATAAGATAAAGGCAAAGAGAAGCCTTTGACTTTAGGGAATTGTATTTCCTTCCGCATATGTTCTCTAAAATGCATCTTTTAGTTCTTTTGTAAACTTGATTGGTTCTTAAACAAATATTAATGTCATAAATGATGAGTTTTATGACAAAGGATGCTTTGCCTTATTTGAAATGTTTATATGCTTGTTTTTTCTTATTTGCAGAAGACACCATAAACATGATTGTTTATGTGCAATTTGTGTGCTAAAGCGTCGTAGGAAAGAACGGGAGGAGAATGACCGAATTGCAAAAGGAAATTTTGGGCCTGGTGGTGATAAGCATGTTAGAGAGATCAAGCAAGAGGTGTTTTTATTGTTAATGCATATGTTTAGTGGCATGGAGATGATATTCTTCTTTCTGATTTCCGTTACTTACTTTTGCCAGCTTCTAAACCCAAACATTAAATGAGGGTTGTCGCACAAGCTCTGATTGAAATATCTGCTTATTACCATGAAATTCATAAGTAGACATACGACTCAAATAATTATGTACTTTCTCTTGTTTCAAAGGAATCGATACTTGGAGATAGTCCCGGCGGGGAGGATTCATCTTCAAACACAGATGAAACGGCGGGTACTGACGGAGATGCTGATGAAGACAAAGGAGACGTTACAAAGATGGGGACTAGTGAGAAGCATCGCAGCCCTTTTGAGGGAAGGCATGAGGTCAATGAAGTTAACGATGACGATGATGATGATGGGATGGAGGAAGATGACCGTGGCCCAGAGAATGCGGAAGAGGAGGAGGAAGATGACGATGGAGAAGATGAGGAAGAGATTGAAATGGACAGTGAGAAGAGACAGATGGATGGAACCTTGGCAGAGAAATCGGAACTTGGAGACATAACCGGTCTTCATGATGAATATAAAGCGCAACTAGAAGGACAAGCAGCAGAGTTCCAACAACTCAAGAAGCACAAGGTATACATACTAAACAATTTGATCTAGCCTCAAGGAAATTATAGTTTTCAAAATCTAGTTGCATTAAGTTTCTGATGTGACTATTTGCATATTTTCTGTTGCAATATGAACTTACTGGTTGAATGTGTTTGTAGGAACCCCAAAATAGACATCAAAAAGCTAAGCTACTTGAGAGCTTTTATTCTGAAAATCCCATGCTTTCAAGTTTGTGTGGAACTCTCTTCCCCGAAAACAGCCAATCTGTGTGGAGTGGTCCGCACTCGCTAATACATCAAAGAAATTTGGCTCGCAGTAGTTCAATCCACGCGGCTATTAGGTCGTTCATGAAGTAGTTGTCTTACTTTAATGGATTCACTACTTCTAGTTAAGTCTAGATTTTTAACGTTGTAGATTTTTCTTGACAGATTTTAGTGTTGTAGATTTTTCTTGACAGATTTTAGTATTGTAGATCGTATTCGTTGCTAAATGTACAATAAGGCATAATAATATTTAGAGCAATGGTAGATTTTGTAGATTTGCGTTGTTTATTTATATTTTACCTTCAAATTTGAAGTAAATGTCACCAGACGTGAGGGTTTGAATTGTGATTTTTTTATTTAAAATTGTTGTATGTAATAAAACCAGCTCTCTAAAGTTATCTTTGGATAAAGATTATTGGAATAGTAACTTCTTGCCGAGAATAAATTAAGTCAAGATTGTATAAAGAATATGTGCTATGTATGTGTGAATAAATAAAGTAATATAAAGATAGTGGAGTTAAATATCTCATACAATTTATTGAATGTAGCCACTTTTAGTCTTTATAGTTTGTGAGATTTTTTTAAGTGCATTGAAATTCTTTCTTTGATCTCCATTTATACAACTATGTATTTTTTTAACTTCATTAAATTTGATTAATATCGCTCAAAAAAATTGATTGTATTTACTTTTAAGAAGATTGATCCTTGAACCTAAATAGGTGTGTGAAAATAAATTTGAGACTGTAATGCACATTTTGTATTTCATTTTCATGCAACTTCTTTGCTGAATAAGAATATTAAAGAAACTTTTATTCTTTACATGTAATTGTAAAAACTATCATTTATTCTTTATTTTAATACTTAAAAAACAAGACAATATTCTTGTTCTAGGTGTGAGGATAACAAATCTGTCTTCTTAAAAGTTGTGATATTAAAAACAGTAAATAGTCTCATGTTTTATACTTCTATATCGTCTAACATACAAAATAACTTCTTTTTATTCTACCTTAACTTCAAATAACTGTGAAATAATTTCTCAACTGAATTTTGTATTACTTGACCAGGCAATTGCTTGTTATCTTCATCCTCAATCTTAAAAAGATATATTTAACAAAAGAATTGTCTTATTTCTTTTTCTTGTGATGAGTATGATTCTTAACAAAAGATATATTAAACTTGAGTTGAGGAGTATGATTCTCTCATTTTATTTTGTATATAGCCTTCAATGTTATTAAGATCATAATCTTTAGTTATAATTTTTTCCAATCATAGGGTATGTTTTTTAAATGTGATGAAAAATAAGAAATATAAGAATTTTGAGTTTAACAAAGAGAAATGGCTCGGATTATTTGTCGTGCAAGTAAACTCAATTTTACCACTCCGTGAGGTCCTGTAACTATGTACTTAATTCTAATATCCTGCATCAAATTTGGTTGTTGAAGTTTTATGGTTTCAATAAAATTGATAAAGTATCTAGTTTGAAGATTTATGTTCAACTCTTAACTAGAAAATATGGAACACAACAAATTACAATACTTTATTTGGAATTTAACTTACTAAAGAGAAAAACAAATCAAAGACTTATATCTCAATCATTCATAATTTGTTTAACATAAAGATATAATATTAACTATTAATTCATTCATATTACTCACTTTCACTCTCATTTGATAGCTGAATCCCATCTCGCTGAGATCTGATAATGCAATCTCTTTTAATTTAGATTGGAACAAATATTTTCGAACAAATAACTAGAAAGATACAACTTACAAGGGTACAAATAAATAAATAAAAATCCACTTTAGTCCACAACCATTTCCTAGAGATTCAAAATGTTAAGAGCAAATGCCCAAAGGAAGAACCTATCTCAAAATTAATCTATTAGGTTGAAGAATCTCCTAGAAATACAAGTCCCTTTCAATGAACTCCGCCTCTCAATGAAAGCACCAATTGTTATGATCTAATTACTTTCTTGGTTTGAGGTTAGGTACCTCCAAGAGAGATGAAAAACTATTTATTCATTCAATGCTTTTAAATTTCATTTTACAGTTTTTATATTATTTATTCTCTCAAAAAAACTCATTCCTACAATTTGGCATTTTTGTTATCAACTACTATTATAATATCAGTTATAAATACTCATGCCTAAAATACTTGTTGCCTAGATTTTTTTCTCATCTCTTCTTGGAGCTACTAGGCCTCAAATCAGGATCATAACACAGAACGTCTACTAACTAGGTAGATCGTACTTCACCTCAGCCAAGTAGAGACCACATGCCGGGGCCATTGGACTTGCAGCTTTAATAGACTTCGCATTCAAAATTCTTTCAACTGAAATGGAGTGAAATCATTTTTAGCCGAAAACATAGTATAGATATTGTTAAGTATCCATGGATATACATTATCACATATGAAAAGAGAAAACCGGGATGAGTACCTACCATCTGGAACTGTTAAGTTTCCAGTGCCGACTGCTTTGAGAACACCAACAAGCAGTCTAACCTGAAATTAATTAACATAATTATTCAGACCAAAACAGTTTGCCCGTGCAGGATTAAATCAGAAAGCATAACATACAACCTAGAAGCCTCATTCAAAAGGAAGATACCAACCTGATGGTAAAGAAAAGCGCGTGCGCGTGCAGTTACCACCAAACAACGATGATACCTTCTTTTACCAAATCCCACGTCTTCATTTGATGTCTTTACTTCATCGATTCTTGCACTAGAGCTAAAAGGAACGGCGAATTCAGATTTGCTGTGAAAGCCGTGAAGATCATCAGCAACTTTATTTTGTCGTTCTCTATCCATTAGAGATGGAAAATATGGACTTGGTATTACTTCAATGACACTGAGTTCATCTAAAGTTCTGATTGGTGATTTTGCCTGTAAAGGGGGAATTTTGCATCATATATTCTGGATTGTTCAAAATAAATTTTGCATGATATGACTTAGAACTTCAAAACGAGACCTCTAATTTTGAAAAGAAAAGATAAATAGACACAGTAATAAGCACTTCAGAAAGAATACACAAGGAGTATTGAACTGAAATTAATCCTATAAGTGATAGCATTAACAACAACTTATATGTGATTATTATGAAACTCAACAAACAAATCAACGTATATACAGACAGGCCCCATTCCTTCAGAGGAATACAGAAGAGGGCCAATGGGTAAAACTATTTATTACTAGGAACTTTATCATTATAAATTATTATTGGTTACAAGTTACAACATCGGAGAAAAGAATCCTCACCTGACAACCAGCTGCCCTGAAAGAACTAAAATCATGATGTCCAACTAGAACTCTACATGCTTCCTGCATGGATATTATTAATCACACGCATGACGCGTCTCATATGATAGTTCTGAAAGCATAATAATCTACTGAATATAGGTAACTGCTAACTAACTTGCATTGCTGGAAGATTAAGCTCCTCCTGGACATGCCATGCTCGATCTTTCTCCAAGGTTGACAAAGGCTCTGGCCCAGACAAAAGGCGATAGAAGTATCTGAATGGAAGTTCCAAACAATTACCAAAACATGATCACAAGATAATAAATAATAAGTAAATAAATAAATAAATAAATAAGAATAAAAAAGAATTATTGGCTAGTGCATGATGATATACATATACATCATTAGACAATCTAAGATCAATCTTATTGTGATATTCTTAATTATCCCTATCATATACAATAATGAAAACTTTTAAAGATCAAACAACTCCTCCATCCATAATCCCACAAATGTCAACTGCAATAATAATAGTCTCGTAAAATAGAACTTCACAAAAGCCAATGATGCTAGATAGTACTGTAAGAACATTAGTAACAAAAATAATCAACGCACATGTAACTTACGTGCGCTCTTGTGCGCTATATCTAGCATGAAAATCTGATGGAATACATCGAACATCAATAACCATTAAATCACCGTTTTGCTTCTGAAATAAATCAAATAGCCACAAAAAAAAAACTGTCAGGAGCTTCTGAGAACAAACAATTTTCTCAAAATGTATCAGCTAATAAATGAAATTGCAGGAACAGTTTAGGTTTTCAAAACTGCAGCTCCAACTTTATATTCGAACCAAACATGTGGTCGATAACATTGAAACACGGACTTGAATAAGAATATACTCAATAATTCATTTATCTTCTAGTAAAATAAATTTGAATTGAAAATGAAGTTTGTTCTAGTATAAAAGTTAAGAATCCAGACTAAGGGAAAGCTATTATAAAACAACACATCTACTCTTCAAAACACTCAAAAACATGATTGATTTTCCATTCAGTTATTATTTGGCATTTACATTGCCTCAGATGAAAATCAAACATGATTTTGATAGTGACAACAGCATTTTCCCGAAGATAGAATAAGCACCAAATTCAAATGATATAGAATTTACTAACCATAGAAGAACACACCTGTAAGAAATGGTTCACAGCCCTTCTAACCACAGCAGGTTCATGAGGTTGTAACTGTATTTTAACGAAAAAAGAACTCAATGAGAAATGATGCAAAAGGGACGGAGAAAAAACAGATAATTCAATCAACAATTAGGGAAGAACGGAGACCCACATCATCCACCATAGTACACGTTGAGGAAAATGCAAAACTGACAGCTTAGCACGATGCGGGGAAAGTAAACAGTAAGCATCAATATGAAAGAGACGTGCACGTAGAGTACTATATTGATTCTTGAAGATGGCTATAAGAAACTAAAATATGCTCCCTCTAGTCCTATTTTTAAGAAAAAGTTTGTTTTTTAGAACATTGAATAACTAATGTATCCGGAGAATATAGAGACCAGATACATTGTCTATTCAATGAATCTGAATAAATAAACTTTTTCTTCTATATGGGACCAGAGGGAGTATTTATCTAGAACTTTAAACTGAATTCATTTGACAGATGAGTATTTATCTACAACTTTAAACTGAATTCATTTGACAGATGAGTATTTATCTAGAACTTTAAACTGAATTCATTTGACAGATGAGTATTTATCTACAACTTTAAACTGAGTTCATTTGACAGATGATTCCAGATGATCATAAACACATATCAACAACTAGCGAATTTAAACTC